TACAATAAGATAAGGAACGAATCAAGCGAATTAACGTTAATAACAAACTATTTAGACAATGTCATGAAAAATGTTTTCCATGTCCCTGACAAACATATAGTTCGATGGCCAAACACGACCTTAACAGAAAGCAAAGTAAGGAAATTCGATGGGTCAAGGACGAAACAGCCAGATTTTGTTGTTTCAGTCAACTATCAGTCACGGGCAACAAATGTGATCTTTGTTGGTGAGGTAACTGGACCAACTGAGAAAAATAATGTATACAAAAATTGCCTTGACTTAATCAGGATTGGAGTTTTCATGAAAGACTGTATTGACTCGGCAATTTCTCAAGGAGTAGACATCAAGATATTGGGGTTTCAATGCATCGCATATAAAATAGATTTTTATATACTAGATATAAATGGGGAAGGACTTTACATGATGAATCATATTGCGCAGATATCAGTACCTGCAACTATAAAGGACATATGTAGCTTTATAGATGAACTTTATATTTTATTAAACCTACGGAGTATCTTATATGAGTCTTATAATGCTTTTGTTGATAAACTTAAAAATCCAAGATTAGCTCCCCTAGAACTTAAATCATCCTTCAAAAAACCAACACTAGACACTCCTGAGTTTAACAAACTCGTTAGCAAAACTCGTTGCGTCAAAAGAGAGTGTCCATTTTGGTTTGGACGATACAAGTATGTATTTTCTTTCCAAAATAACTTGAAATTTACGATACTAATTCTTATTGCAATTGTAGATGATAATAATTCACCATCTGGTTCTCTTAAAAATTAGATGTACTAAATTTCTTAAGCTGTAGGTTGATGGATATGGCTAAATAAATTCAATAGAAACACAGAATTTTATTTCATATTAACGTGCTTATTTTCTACATGTATCAATCTAATTGATTAACTAAGTTTATAATGCCCAGACAATCAATTTTTCTTGCTAATTACAATTAGGTCTTGGGTATAAGTCAAGTTGCGAATTAATGCATGAGATATTAAATAAAATACCCGTTGCCATTTTCCTATGTATTATTTCTATTAATAAATATTAATAAAGTTTCGGGTTTATCTCTTTTTAACATGTATGCCTGTATGCGTGTGGTGTGAGGTGTGATGTATCAGAATAAAATTGTCATGATAGTTAAATATGTATGCTTGCTCTAATAAATTTAAATGAATTTGCAGTCCCAATCGTTCTCCCTTCGCTTAAATGTGATTGCCATTTATAAAACATTATTTTTGTATCAAGATATATCGGAATTGTACATGTCGATGTCCGCATAATTTTGTCATTTTTTTGACGAACATTGTTCGCTGAAATTTCATCACATGACTTTGTTTTGGTTCTCTCGAAAAAACATCTTATAAAATAATTCTAATTAAAATTAAAAAGCATTAGAATAGTAAAAAACATTTTCAACACTTCGTGCAGACATAGCCAGGACGTGGTTAATAACAATCTTTTTCCGAACATTTGTGATAAAGTTATATAATATAATATTAAATATGCGAACACAGGGAGAAAAGACTAAAGACTTATCCCAAACTGTTTCATTACAAGAATTAAATTCAAAGCTTATTGCCATAATTGCAGAACTTAGAAGGGAGAATTCTGAAATCAAGACTGAGAACGTCGAACTTAAAGCTGAGAATATAAAAGTTAAAACTGAGAATAAAAAATTAAAACAAACTTTAGAAGAACATGGTGCCAGATTTACGAATCTAGAACAGAAAGATAAAGAAAAAACCAACCTTATTGCTAAACTTGAGCAGAACGATAAAGAAAAAACGGATCTTATAGCTAAATTGGAATATGACGTTTCACTAATTAAAGGACAAGACAAGAGTATGGTGTGCAATCAAATCGTTACTAATGTTTCGCAAGATGTAGAACCTAGAATCTCTGATTCATATCCTGTAAATTCTAATAATGTTCCTGAAGATATAAATTTACTATGTGATGATAATAATATAACTAATAATGCTTCAAATTCTGATGAAAATCGAAAAGAAACTTCATCTCGAGTCTCCAATTTATCTTCGACTACATTAGCCATATGCGTAAAGCCTAAATCATTAGAAGATAAGGAAATAGATAATTTTCTGATTGGAAAACATAATAAACAGATTCGTAACGAAATAAGAGAAAAAAAGCTTCAACATAGGCCATCTACTGAAAGTTCTCCAAAAGAGGACACTTACATATCTAATATTAAATCTAGTATTCCTCCCGAGCAGAAAAAGGAGCAAGGTTTAATACAAGAGATTTCAACATCCATTAAAGATCAGAATGATATAACTAGAATTTCACAGAACAATATTCGTCAAAATCATATGACTGAAGTCGTTTCAGACCAAGATATCATTTGTTTATACCAAAATGCATATGATGCAGAAAAAGATGCTATCAAAGCCAATCAAGAAGAAATATTATGTTGGTGTTTCTACGCTAAAAAGTTTAAAGGTTTGGTTAAAGATTTTATGGCTAATGGTAGAGTTGGAGAGAAAAAAGCAAAAGGACAAGTA